AAAATAATAATAATAAATAAATAAATAAAATTATGAACTGAAAATTCTTATCTGTTTGGTTGTGTTTTTGTTATTTGTTTTCATTTTTTATTTTTTGAAGACAAAATAATGAAAAGTTTGAAAGTATCCATCATTTTCATTTCTGAGTGAAAAAAATTTTAAAATTAACTTTTTGATGTTCTATTTCCTAAAAATGAATTGTTTTAAAAAAATTCCAAAAAAGTTTCATGAAGAAGGAAAATAGAAAACAAAAAACAAAAACACAACTAAGCAATTGGAATAAGCTGAACAATTGATTAAAGTTTTAAAACTAGATCATGTACTTGTAGGTTCATTGTTGGTTGATGCCCAAGTTCATTACCTACAAAAAACAAAGTTAGTCACCGCAAAGTTAGAAAAGTTTTACTATTTTTTCTATTCTATTTATAAACTACTAATTTCATCTATAAAATTCTGATTTCATTTCATATAATTTAATTGAAAATAGTTCAACCAAACCAATAATCATAGAACCCTAAACAACTGGGCCAAAATATAATTTTACAATTTTAACAACATAAATCACACAACCAAACTCCTATCTTTGGACTTACGCTATATTAAACAATTTACACTCCATAGCCAAACACATAGGTTGATTATATTGTTTCAGTTGCTCAAATTTTGAAATGACATTTCTGCCCATCAAATTAGGATTTAACAATTATTGATTTGGACAACTGTCTCTAATTAGACCACATCAGCTGAAATTAGAAATAGAGACTTAATAGATGAAATTAATAATTTAAGGATAAAATAAAAAACAAGGAAGATAATTTAAGAGATAAAAATAAAGTTAGTAAAAATAATAAGAAAAAAAGTTTTTGTGAACACAAGGTACTGGTTAAAATTTCCTGAACAATGATGGAACAACCAAACCAGAGTAGGAGTCACCACCAATGTACAATGGATTATCAAGAAACTTGAGATGATCAATCAGCCATTGTGTCACAATAAAATAAAATAAATGAGATGAAGAGTTTAATTAGTTTTAACTATAAGAATGCAATAATAGTGCAATTAACCTTTTTCCATCCAAACAAGAAATATAAACCAAGAGTAATCAAAAGTGGACACAGAATTTTCACATTATGGAATACAAATTATCTCAGATTTGTGTCCCATTCTTCAACAATTCATTTGTTTGCTATTTATTTGATTTTCCCCCAAAATCATTTTAACTGAACCCATATAATGAAACACCAATACTCAAAATTTCTATAGTTTGATTGATTATTCCTGCATTTTCTTGGCACCCAAACAGAAATAACTATAATATAAAATGAGGAAATCTTCTTACCTTCATCTTGAGGCAACTTTGACTCGGAAAATCTCAATGACCATAAGCAACTCAGTCCAATAATCAAAAGCACAACAGTGTTTCTATGAAGAATAAGAAAAGAAGAGAAGAAGAGAAGAGAAAAATACCCAACAATATGGCAATGTTTCACACAGGTAATAGGATATATTATTATATAAAAACAATATATTCAAAGCTATCTGCAATCACATTAATTAAAAGGTGTGAATAAAAAATATACATATAATCACATTTAATTTAAAAATAAAATAAAAAATAAATATTATTATACTCAATCAAATTAAGTATAATTAAAATATCAATTCAATTTTTTTTATTACACTTTCAATAAAAGTAAGATATTTTTATTTGTCAAAGTGTGATGTTTAACTATTTTTGTAGTAGTGACATAATCACACTTTAATTAGAAGGTGTGATTAAAAAATATATATATAATCACACTTGTTTAAAAAGTGTGATTAAAAAGTAGTAGTGTATATATAATCACACTTTTAATTAGAAGGTGTGATTAAAACATATATATGTAATCACACTTAATTGAAAAGTGACATAAAAAATAAATATTATCACACTCAATCAAATTAAGTGTGATTAAAATATCAATTTAATTTTTTTTATCATTCTTCCAATAAAAGTGAGATCTTTTTTTTTGTCAAAGTGTGATCTTTAACTATTTTTGTAATAGTGTATGGTGATAAACAAAAATGAAAATAGGGTAAACTACAATATTAGAATATTCATTTATTTTTCAAATTAATGAATATTTGTTACACAAAATTAAATTTTACTTTCATTACTTTATATTAATTAATAAAAATTTTAACACACAAATTTATCATAATGATATTCTTTATTTTTCATTATTTAAAATATAAAAAAAAATGTATGTTCTCTATTTTAACTAATTTCTTTTTTATTTATGTACTCCAACTCTACTATTTGTTTTACGTATTTATACACATAAATTGTTTAAAGAGTCTCCCAAACTCTTCAAAATGTAACTAGTTTTAAAAATGTTGTTAGTATAACTATTATAATAACTAATCCGTTGAAGTGACCAAACTATGCTAATACTAGTTATAGTATCTTCATTTAAAGAGTTTAATGGAGACGCTTTTGGCCCCTCATAAAGGACAATGTAAACTAAAAGAAAGTGGAAGTGATGGTTTTGTTGGCCAAGAGCTTATCTCTGAAAAATGCTATTGTCAGGTAAATTATAATTTTTTTACCTTTACAATTTATTTTAAATTTAATTTTGATCTTTATTATTTTAATTTTGAAACTGGTTAATCTCAAAGTTTAAGTTTAGAGCATTTTTAATGGTAACTCCTTAAATTTTGTAATTAAAGTTATTTTTAAGCTATGAACATTGTATGAAAATTATATTTTACTAATATTGTTTTAATGGTACTACTATTTTTTGCCTCAACCAATTTTCTCTCTATTTAATTTTCCTGTTTCAATTACTTATTGAACTGTTTTTCTTCCCACCACAATTGAACCACTTCTCTCCAAAAAAAATAAATAAATAAATAAATATTAGCAAGACTTCTTAATTTAGTCATTTCAAAAAAAATACTGACAACATTTTTAAGTCTCATTTGGCAATATCACTTTTTAATTTAAAAGTCAAAAAGTCATTAAAAAAATCAAAAAGTCAACAACTTATGCCAAAAAGTCAAAGATTCCATTTTCTTTCTACTTTTTACACATATTTTTGTAAAAAATTTAAAAGTCATCACAAACATATTAATTTCTTTTACATCATATTTTAGCCATGAAGCCAAAAAAATTACTAAAAAATTTGTTCCCAAATGAGGCCTTAGTTTAAATTACACTCTTCTGCTCTGAGATTTAGAAAAAATATAAGGAAAATTTATTCATAAATCCTATTTGGGGAAATATTGATACATTTAGGTTTCATTTGGGAATTTTAATAATTTTTTGGGCAAATTACAGAAATAGTCCCTGTACTTTAACCCGTGTGTCATTTTGGTCTCTGACATTTCCAATTGCGCGATTTAGCCCCTCAATTTAACAAAGTGTGTCAATTTCGTCCAATAATTGGCGCCCGTTTGGAATTTTGGACGGAAAGCCAACACCTGCCTCTTACGTGCTCTCTCTAGCAATTACTGAGGGGCACACTCGTCTTTTCACCTCAAACCCTAGTTGCCTCTCACCAAAACCATATATGTCATCTCTATCTCCATTATATACACATACAGACTCCAATACACATACAGACTCCAAAATTGATGGTAGACGAAGGACGAAAGAAGAAGATGGATCATGTACTATGCCAATGCAGAATAGAAGCTCAGTTGAAGACTTCGTGGACAGAGCAACCCTGGACGAAGGTTTTGGGGATGTCCTCAATATGGTGTAAGTGTAGATGGAAAAAAATTAGGATGTCATTTTTGTTATACTATTTGTAAAGGCAACTGAGGTGTTTAAGAAAAAAATATTGCAGAGCAGGCATGCATGTGGATTCTTTCTATGGATGGATCCTCCATTGTGCTCTCGTGCTCGAGATATCATACTTGGGTTGCTAAGAAGAACCACCATGCTTGAAGAGCAATTAAAGATGCAGAGAGTAAGACAAAGGAAGTTGATTACTTTGATGGCATTGTCATGGCTCATTTTTTGGTGTTGGAACATGATTGAAGATGGTTCTGCAGCTGCTTCTCTTTCAAGCACTGGGAATGATGGAAATTAAAGCATGTAGACTAGGAATGAAGTGGGGATTTTTTTTTAAATTTTGTAAATTTTTTTGTTTTGAAGCTTCTGGACTGGGAATGGAGTAGGAATGAAGGGGTTTTTTTTTTGTTTTTTTTTTCTTCTTGTAATTGATGCTTATGTACTACTGGGAATGGATTTTAGGGTTTGATTTTGTTATGTCCAGACATGTTTTGAATGACGCCATATCAATGTGGAATGAAGCTGTAGCAATGTTTTTTAATCAACATTTGTTTGTCAACTTTTGAGTCAATGTTGAATTTTGAAATGAATGTTGAATGAACTGTTTTTGTTTATCAGTTTTTTTCAATCACACTGTCTTGTGGTGCATTGTTTTGTTCACTTTTCTTGCTTTTGTTCACTTTTGCTACATTGGTTTGTTTCACTTTTAGCAAACATGATGCAACCTATAACAAGACATAGACATAAACATTGTAGACATGGTCCAAACATGTTCCAATACAAAAAACAAATACTTCAAATAACACAAAGAGGCCAATCAGTTGGCAAATCCAACAAAACATTACTTCAATTAACAAATACTTCAAACATGGTCCAAAATGGCAAATCCAACAAAATATTACCATGTTCCAACAAAACATAAAAAGCCCAAATACAACAAAACAACAAACTATTGTCTACTATTAGGTAACTACTCCTTCAACATTTAATTGCTTCCATGTTTTGGTAGTAAAGACAAGGTCACAAACTTCTGCTCCTTTGACACATATGTTGTTGAACTCCTATATGGACCTGTAGATGTGTTTGGCTCAATGAATGTGCTTATTCTAGTGAAACCTGGTGGAGGTCCCCTAATGTTCACCCCTTGCAATGCTGCTCTAAAGTTGAAGCTTGGTTGACTACCACTTGCTTTAGGCCTTACTGAAATGCTTACCCTGCTACCTTATTGACTACTGGCTTCAGTGGTTGCTTGGTCTCTTGGTTGACTACTGTGTGCTTGACTACTTCTTTGGGTACTTGACTGGTTGTTTGTTACCTGCAAATTGTTAGTAATTAATTGTATGAAGGACACATAATAAATGAATTGAATTTATGAAGATGTAACAAATTGTGTAGGGTTACCTTTGGTGCAATAGGCTGGCCTTTGCATCCTCTTTTGTTGTGTCCAAGCTTACTACACAAGCTGTATGTAGTTGTTGTGTTTTCTCTGTGCATCTTATAAGGATTCTTAGGCTCATTTGCTTGCATTTTTCTCAACTTTCTTGGCCTACCAGGTTGCTTCTTCACTTTTGGAGGCAATAATCCAGGCAACACAGACTTTGGCCACATTTCAGAACCATTTATTGGGTATATCATTGGCTTATAACTAGCCAAGTATATCTCCTTCTTATACCAATGAGCCACATAATCTTCAGGTTGCTCATGTTTGTCATATATGGCTGAAATGGCATGACAACATGGTATGCCAGTTAGATCCGACTTTCTGCATGAACAGGTTGAATCACCCAAATCAACTACAAATTGTTGGCCATTGAAGTAATTGATTTGGTACCTTAGACCTCTTACCCACATAGCAATACAATTGCTTGCATATTCTTTCCTTTTCTCCAATGCTTGTTATATGTTAGGACAAATAGGTCCTAGTAAGCCCTCATTACTTCCTTTCTCACCTGCAGCCTCTTCATCAAGATACACCTAATGTCCTCTAACAAAAGGATTATGGTTTTTCCTCTAGCTTCTAGGATCAAGCTATTAAAGCTCTCACACATGTTGTTATCTAACATATCAGACTTAACTGTAGGTGTGAAATGAGATCTAGACCAGGTGCTTGGGGGTTTTTCAACTAACCAATTGAATGCATCTTCATCGGTTTCCTTCAACTCTTTCATATGAGCCTGAAATGCTTGTACATAAGAAGCCTTTGCAGCTTTGTACACAATGTCCTTCAAGTGTACCCCCTTGAAGCTATCTCTGAAATTGGTGTAAAGATGTCTGATGCAGAACCTATGCTCTACCATGGGTGCAACCTCTACAAGTGCTGGACACAATCCCTGCTTTGTAGAGGGGGAAAAAAAAAGTTACACACATTAAATGAACTAAACAGTAAAAATAAATGCATGAAACTTCCAATAAGCATTTACCTTTTGTTTATCTGACATGAAGGTCACTCCTTGCTTGTTGAACCACCCAGGAGTGTCACATAATATTTCAAAAAACCATTTCCATGAACTCTTTGTTTCTCTTTCAACAACTGCAAATGCCAATGGATAGCTATTGTTATTCTCATCCAAACCAACAGCTTACAACAGTTGTCCCTTGTATGGCCCTTTCAAATGGTAGGCATCAACCCCAATGAATGGCCTACATCCTGCCAGAGAACCTTGCTTGCAACCTCCAAAGCATACAAAAATCCTTTGAAACCTAGGCTTGCCTTCATCTATTTCATGTTCTTCATTTTTTGCATCTTCATAATCTTCCTAGACTATGATAGTTGTCTCTGGATTAGTTCTTTTTATCTCTTCACAGTAATCCCATAACTTGGCATATTGTTCCATGATGCTTCCCTCTATCAATTCTTGTACTTTTCTCTTTGTCCTATACACTTGGCTACTAGATATCCCAACCTTGTGCTCCTTTTGCACAGCTTGCTTGAATGGCTGCACTGGAATGGATGGATTGGACTTCAATGTCTCCAAATACTTCTTAGACAGCCATGTAGAATTCATTTTTGACTAACTTAATAGCCTTCCCAGTCTTAATACGATGCTCCTTAACAGCAGCTTTCAATATTTTGGCAGTGCCAAAAACCATGCCAACCTTGAACTTTGGATCTGCCATATCTGTGTTTGGATTAAACTCTGGGTATCTAACCATGTTGCTTCCAACCTCTTCATCAAAAGATTCATTAATGCTCTTGAGGTCATCAGATGTGGCATCAGGCTCTAAGCAGTTAATATGAGGTACATTAACTCTTTCTGCATTATGCTTCTGCCTCCCTAACCCACCCAATTCAACATTCCTATCAACATTAGCATCAAATAGTATGTCATCCTCATTGAAATCATAGTCACTATCCTCAAAGTCCTCTAGATCTGTAGAATAGTTAGATGAATCATGACTTTGCCTTTCATCCTCACCCTCACCGTCCACATTACTTGTGCCACTTCTAATTTCCCCAATCACAACTGATGCATAGTGAAAGTGATTAAACTCTTTAAGCTCAAGCAATTGATCATCAGGGATGTGCTCTAAATACACTTCAATTATCCTACTTACATTCACCCATTTCACTATATTCATTACATCACTATCATTCCTAAGTGGCCTTAATCCATAATTTAAGTCCCTACCAGGACTCGATAATGGTATGAAATGAATTCAGTATAACCTAACTTTCTGAGCCATATCCCCTATCTCTGTCAACCTCATTTTGTCAGCATCACAATTGTCCCAAAATGATAATCTCCCCCCTACGTAAGCCCTATTTACTAAAGACTTAAAAACCCCACCATGATGCATTTTGATAGTGAAATAATCACCATTCGGATCTGAAAAAGAAGATGACATATTTATTGTATGAACAATACAGGACAACGGGGACCACAACACATTATCTATACATCAATTAAAGATATTGATTTGTTTTTTTGTTAGTGTGCAGTGGTGTAGATGTGTCGACATGCGTGAATAAATAAACATATATTCTCCTCATCACTTTCAAACAGAGAAAAGCAAAGCAAAAGTAGATTCTTTGACCCATCCAATGCTTCAACTTGCAGACAGATAAAATAAAGCAAAATACAAAACCAAAAAAAGAAGAAGTAAAGAGTACTTTTTTTCTTACCATAATCTGGTATTTCATCACCAATCCTCACAATCGCCATGTTCATCTTTTGACCTCGTCAATCGTTTTCTTCTCTATCTACGCCAATTTCAGCAGATTTACAATCAAACAATTTTTTGGTAACTCAAAACCCTAGAAATGATTCGATTGTGTAGGGACAAAGAGAGTGGACTTGCTGATTTGGGAAAGATACAAGTATAGAGATGATGAAGGTAACTAGGGTTTGAGGTGAAAAGACGAGTGTGCCCCTCAGTAATTGCTAGAGGGAGCACGTGAGAGGTAGGTGCTGGCTTTCCGTCCAAAATTTCAAACGGGCATCAATTATCGGATGAAATTGGCACACTTCGTTAAATTGAGGGGCTAAATCGCGCAATTGGAAATGTCAGGGACCAAAATGACACACAGGGAAAAGTATAGGGACTATTTCTGTAATTTGCCCTAACTTTTTGATTTTTTGGTTAAAATATGAGGTAAAAAAAATTAGCATGTTTGGAATAACTTTTTAATTTTTTTATGAAAAAATGTGCAAAAAGTAAAGAGAATTTTTTTTGATTTTTTTGTATAGGTTGTTAGCTTTTTAGTTTTTTTTTTTTGTAACTTTTTGACTAAAACAGTGAATTGCCAAATGAGACATTAGTCTTAAGTATTTTATTTTAAACCAATTAGTCTTTTTTGTTTTTGGAAAGAAAGATTTGTTTGATTTGATACCATTTGAGTTTACTTGATTGCCCTATTGTGAATATTTTTTCCAATTCTTTTAGTCATTTGTAGGATGGAAATGGAAATGTTATGTGTGCTGGTGTATTTTTTGAGAGATTTGGGGGAGTCATTTCGGTAACACCTGCTGGATTGATGTTTAACATGTTTGGTGTCGGGTATTGAAACTCCTTTTTTGGTGGTGTGGTGTTCTGGCAAAGGAATTACGGAGTTTGTTTGGTCTGGTCCAGGGTGGAATATCGCAAGTTACATGCGTCGATTTGTTGAAGAGCAACCCTGGACGAAGGTTTTGGGGATGTCCTCAATATGGTGTAAGTGTAGATGGAAAAAAATTAGGATGTCATTTTTGTTATACTATTTGTAAAGGCAACTGAGGTGTTTAAGAAAAAAATATTGCAGAGCAGGCATGCATGTGGATTCTTTCTATGGATGGATCCTCCATTGTGCTCTCGTGCTCGAGATATCATACTTGGGTTGCTAAGAAGAACCACCATGCTTGAAGAGCAATTAAAGATGCAGAGAGTAAGACAAAGGAAGTTGATTACTTTGATGGCATTGTCATGGCTCATTTTTTGGTGTTGGAACATGATTGAAGATGGTTCTGCAGCTGCTTCTCTTTCAAGCACTGGGAATGATGGAAATTAAAGCATGTAGACTAGGAATGAAGTGGGGATTTTTTTTTAAATTTTGTAAATTTTTTTGTTTTGAAGCTTCTGGACTGGGAATGGAGTAGGAATGAAGGGGTTTTTTTTTTTGTTTTTTTTTCTTCTTGTAATTGATGCTTATGTACTACTGGGAATGGATTTTAGGGTTTGATTTTGTTATGTCCAGACATGTTTTGAATGACGCTATATCAATGTGGAATGAAGCTGTAGCAATGTTTTTTAATCAACATTTGTTTGTCAACTTTTTAGTCAATGTTGAATTTTGAAATGAATGTTGAATGAACTGTTTTGTTTATTAGTTTTTTTCAATCACACTGTCTTGTGGTGCATTGTTTTGTTCACTTTTCCTGCTTTTGTTCACCTTTGCTACATTGGTTTGTTTCACTTTTAGCAAACATGATGCAACCTATAACAAGACATAGACATAAACATTGTAGACATGGTCCAAACATGTTCCAATACAAAAAACAAATACTTCAAATAACATAAAGAGGCCAATCAGTTGGCAAATCCAACAAAACATTACTTCAATTAACAAATACTTTAAACATGGTCCAAAATGGAAAATCCAACAAAATATTACCATGTTCCAACAAAACATAAAAAGCCCAAATACAACAAAACAACAAACTATTGTCTACTATTAGGTAACTACTCCTTCAACATTTAATTGCTTCCATGTTTTGGTAGTAAAGACAAAGTCACAAACTTCTGCTCCTTTGACACATATGTTGTTGAACTCCCATATGGACCTGTAGATATGTTTGGCTCAATAAATGTGCTTATTCTGATGAAACCTGGTGGAGGTCCCCTAATGTTCACCCCTTGCAATGCTGCTCTAAAGTTGAAGCTTGGTTGACTACCACTTGCTTTAGGCCTTATTGAAATGCTTACCCTGCTACCTTATTGACTACTGGCTTCAGTGGTTGCTTGGTCTCTTGGTTGACTACTGTGTGCTTGACTGCTTCTTTGGGTACTTGACCGGTTGTTTGTCACCTGCAAATTGTTAGTAATTAATTGTATGAAGGACACATAATAAATTAATTGAATTTATGAAGATATAACAAATTGTGTAGGGTTACCTTTGGTGCAATAGGCTGGCCTTTGCATCCTCTTTTGTTTTGTCCAAGCTTACTACACAAGCTGCATGTGGTTGTTGTGTTTCCTCTGTGCATCTTATAAGGATTCTTAGGCTCATTTGCTTGCATTTTTCTCAACTTTCTTGGCCTACCAGGTTGCTCCTTCACTTTTGGAGGCAATAATCCAGGCAACACAGACTTTGGCCACATTTCAGAACCATTTATTGGGTATATCATTGGCTTATAACTAGCCAAGTATGTCTCCTT